GTTGAGGCCCTAACATACATAGTTCATCCATTACCAATAGAGTAACTTCAATTAATTTCTTTTTTGTTGTGAATTTACAAACCCATCTCGTCTAAATGCCAATCACAATGTAATTTTAAAAGTTTCGCGTATAATGTAACAAGATTAAGAAGAAATCGCTAGCGCGTATTGTCTGAGTGTGCAGGGCATGAGGGGAAATTGTAAAACTCCACTTAAATAAGTAAAGTGCCAGACCGTTATTTGTATAATTAAATAAACATCAATAGAATTTAAAGACTCGACAAATGTTGAATGTATACATTTCAAATTTATTCAATAGCGATTATAAAGACTGGCTGTCAGTGGTGTGGCCTTTGTAAGGAGACCCATTCCAAATTTGTCACGCATGCATCCTTTCATAAGGTACATATAATAAAATCGTGCTTTGTTNTCAATAGCGATTATAAAGACTGGCTGTCAGTGGTGTGGCCTTTGTAAGGAGACCCATTCCAAATTTGTCACGCATGCATCCTTTCATAAGGTACATATAATAAAATCGTGCTTTGTTTACTTGCATAAGTGCTCGTACATATGTATGTGTGTAATTCACCCTTCTTCCTCAAAAGCAACAACAACAACAACAACAATGACAAAGCAAATGCTTCTGTATCCCTCCATTTGCTGCTCAACTTACGTGACTTAGCGTATTTTCTGTCTTCTTTTTTTCATATTTTTACGCCTTTGTTATACCTCCCTTTTCATCGCCTACTTGTGTGCTTGCTAATCAAATAATACTCTCTTTTTCAGAAAACCAACATGAAAGCGAACGAAATGTCTTCAACCAGCCCCAGCAATGGCAGTAACGGCCACCATAAGCCCAGTGATAGTACCACGGCTACAGCCGTCAACAGTATTGGTGGTGATTCGGCCACTTCAACAACGACAAGCGGCAAAGAAAGCAAAACATCCTTAACCTCAAGTTGTGCTGCGGTGACAACGGCTGTTGTGAGCAGCGCATCTTCCACTTCATCGTCCTCGTCGTCTTCGTCATCATCCTCATCATCGGGTGGTGGCAAGCAGAAAAAGACCGTCACATTCAAGAATATACTCGAGACGAGCGACGATAAGAGCGCTGTGAAGAAGTTCTACAATCCCGACAATCGCATACCGCTCGTATCCATCATGAAGAAAGAGTGCATGAATCGCCCGCTACTCTACTCGCGCAACAGCGAATGCATTGTACGGCCATCGAGGCTAACTGAGATACTCAAGAACAATTCAAATATCGACAAGCTAAATTCCTTAAAATTCCGCTCCAGCCACGCAACCGCCAGCACTGCAGCGACAACAGCTGTTGGCGGTGCTACTGCTACAGCTACTGTTACACTCGGCGCAACGTCATCGACCGCAGCCGCAGCGGTTTTTGGTGGTTCGGGGCTCACTTGTGCATTTGGCGCGCCAACTGCCTATGCTGAGGACCGTAAGCATGACACCGTGGCCTTTAGGCTAGGCGATACCACAGCGAATACACTGCATACTGCAAACGGTTACTCAAGCGAAATAAATCCAAAAAAAGAGCATGGCACAGAGGTTGGTGATGCGGTAGAAGCAGGCAACGAGGCGCATGAGATGGAGGAGGATGAGCATGATGAAGACGTAGGCAGCAGTAGCAAAGGCGCGGCGCTGGGTGAACAAGATGAGGACGATGACGAGGAGGAACAGCAAATTGTGGTTGACAAGCATTTTGTGTTGCCGAAGCGTAGCACACGCTCTTCACGTGTCATCAAACCGAACAAATGGCTGCTGGAAGATGGCATTATATGCAAGAAGGTGGCGCATGTAAAGACGAAGCAAACCACTGCAACGGCCACAGCAGCAGCAGCACCTACAAGCGGAAGTGGCAGCGCAACGAAGAAGGAACAGCAAAACTACTTCGGTTTGGGTGGCTATGCAGAGGCGGGCATCGCAGTTGCTGACACTTTGGGTTAGTATGTCAGTAGACAAAAGAACTTAAGTGAGAAAGCTAATTTGAGATTTTATCGCTTTGATGATTTTGCAGGAATTAAAAGCGGAAAGGACAACAACAAAGCTGCATTTGGCAACTCGACATTTCGTACGAACTTTGGCTCAATTAAACCGAATAGTTTTGTGTTGCGCCAGCCGCGCTTGCAATTCGATTCACCGACCGAGCGTACAACGACAACAAATGCTTCTTCAACAATAGCATCTTTAAGTTGCTCAACAACAACACCACTATCTATAACGGTGCCTAAGGCGCTGACGTTGTCAATGGGTCTGAGATCGTCCTTGTCGAGTGGCACAACGAGCGGCGCTGGCACTTTTGGCCTGAATAGTGCCAATAGCTTGCTAAGCAAAAGCGTTTTAGGTGAGTAAATGCAATGAGAAAAATTGAAGTGGCTTATTTGTAGCGTTCACTGTAGAAAAATCCGAAACGGCAGAAAAATTTTTATTTTGTAAGACTTTGAACTTTGTTATGAATTTCGTACATATTTATTTAGATACATAAGTAAAATGTAATAGA